AATATATAGTTTATATGTTACTGTAACCAAGGTACTGACATAGTGTTTTTCTACATAGGTCGTTTTGCCGTTCGCGACATGAGGCAGACAGTTGCAGTCGGTGTCATCAAAGCTGTGGACAAGAAGGCTGCTGGAGCCGGCAAAGTCACCAAGTCTGCCCAGAAAGCTCAGAAGGCTAAATGAATATTATCCCTAACACCTGCCACCCCAGTCTTAATCAGTGGTGGAAGAACGGTCTCAGAACTGTTTGTCTTAATTGGCCATTTAAGTTTAATAGTAAAAGACTGGTTAATGATAACAATGCATCGTAAAACCTTCAGAAGGAAAGAATGTTTTGTGGACCATTTTTTTTGTGTGTGGCAGTTTTAAGTTATTAGTTTTCAAAATCAGTACTTTTTAATGGAAACAACTTGACCAAAAATCTGTCACAGAATTTTGAGACCCATTAAAACAAGTTTAATGAGAAATCTGTGTTGGTCAATGCTGAAAGTTAACTGAGTGCATACAACAAAGGTGCATGGGTTCCTAGGGATTGAGTTCTGTCACCTGGCTTGACAGTGGGTGTCTTCCCATAACTGAGCTATTGAGGTTATAGTTTTCTAAACTATAAACTCCCTTGAGTTTGATTAGCTTTGAAATCTTACGATTAGGACAACCTAGATGTATCAACCCAAGGTGCTATAGTTAGTTGGGTCAGACCATGGGTACTTAGACCTCAATCTGTCTGGATCTGGTCAGACTGTTAGGCGTACAGCTAAACTTGCTTTAGGCACCATTGCTGGAGTATGTGACCATATAGTACTATTACCTGAGTACTCTGATTATGGGAAATGAAGCAAGGTTGGAAAGTGGGGTATTTCCTTCCACAGTAGCACATGACAGTTTTTACTACAAGGACCAATATCGAATGAATAGGTAAACGGGTTAAATCCAAAGATAAGTGGGTAAGCAAAAAGGGTTTTCTAAAATTAGCTTGCCTAATAGTTTTTCTAAGCTTTTGCTGGGAGGTAAAACGGTGCTGGTAGAGTGTTATTTTTATGGGACACCTCAACTGTAAAGACTAGGGTAAAGATTTGGGAAACCAATATTAAGTTGAGAATTTTGGTGTTTAACAGTTTGCATGTTACAGTAACAGCTTGAGTTGTCAGAACATGTAATTTTGAAGTTCCTAACAAGTCTGAGTCATGTTAACCTGAAGGATGATCTTTGGAAGAACACAGCTCTAGTCCCTGGAAATGGATGGCAAGGCTGCATAGCTTATGTTAATGGAGCCCATGTGATTGCAACAGGTGGCCTAAGTTTAGACATGAGATTTAGAAGTCATGTGTGATAACCCCTTTGAAATACATAAGGATCCAATTTGGTGTAATTATCTTTACCCTTCAGGGTCATTGCTTGTGTAGGATTAAGGGCTGCTGCAAACCCTTTGCTAAAGGTTGGTCAATTTCTTTGTTCAGGTTACTGCAAGTATGACTGGTTAAATATGGACTGCCAATAGAGAAATGTAGCTTGACTTTAAGTGTTATACCCCAAAGAATCAAGACCTACCTGGGAAATTATCAGGAGGGTCTGTTGGATATGAAAGTTTGTCAACTAGTCTGCATGAATAAGTGTACAATTAAGTGGAATAGCACCATCTACTGGTACTTAGAAGACAGCAGGATAAAAGCATGTTTTTGGAGCTGGGGAATGGAATTCAGGGCCAAAGGCTTGGTAGGCAAGCCCTCCTCCACATGAGCTACTTAGCAGGAAAACTTAGGCGTTTGCTCTAGGCAGGCTAGCTGTTTGGCTATATGACTTTAGTGTAAACTTGATGAAAATTCCCTCAAGATTCTGGCACCCACATGATTCACAACAGTTCTGGGAAATATAATGGCCTGTGTATCAGGCCCATACACAGTACCCATGTAGGCAAAATCTTAAGGAATTTAAATGAAGGCTTTCTAGTTTCTTAAAATGGTTGGACTTCAATGTGGAAGGTAAAGGCTCCACATGAATAAGGCCTGTTGCTCCTAATGATTAGGGTTTATTCTCAGTCTGGGTTACATAAGGACTAGGGAGTCTAGAAATCAAGTCAGGCTAGGCTTGAAAAAGGCAGTTGAGTGCCTGCTGCTAAGCCCGATCCCTAGATACACAGCAGAATATCCCTCAAGTTGTCCTTTGTCCACAGGCACATGCTCTATTAAAAGGATGAATGTTTAATACTCTGAGAATGCTGTCCCACACTCACTGCCTTATAGCCAGGCTAGAATGGGTTTAAATGAACCTAGTGGCAGTTTTCTTTGAGAAGGTACTGGGTGAACCTAGGGTCTTTGCATATATATGGTTAGAAGCCATACTCGACTGAGCAATGATCCTCATTCCTTTTTAAAAAAATTTCAGGCTCAGGTAGGCCTTGAACTTGGTGATTTTTTTATCCTGAGAACAATTAGAATTACAAGCTTACTAGTAGGTTTGGCTTAGTTTGTGAGTTTTGGAATACTTTTTTTGAGACAAGGTTTCTCTGTGTAGCCCTGGCTGTCCTGGAACTCACTCTGTAGACCAGGCTGGCCTCTGAATTCAGAGATCCGCCTGCCTCTGCCTCCCAAGCACTGGGATTAAAGGCGTGCGCCACCACCGCCTGGCCTGGAATACTTTTCTACCAGGCATTTTTCTGAGACAGTTTATGTATTTCTTGAACTGGAAATTGCTCTGTAGACTAGGTTGGCCTGGAAATTCGAGATCTACCTGCCTGTTCTTCACAAGACCCGGGATTAAAAGCATGTACCACCATAACCCAACTACAAAGCCAATTTTGTTAATCTAAAACTGTGTTTTTTCTTTCTTGAGATAGGATCTTGCACAGTCTACACTGGCTTTGAATTTGCTATGTACATACATACCACCATGTACAGCTGGGTTTTACTAAAATTTGCCTGGGGTGCTTACTTCATTGGCTTTTTCAAAAGTTGAGGCAGGAAGATCATTTGAGCATAGGGATTTGAGGCCATCTTGGAAAAAAATAATGAAACTCTTGTTTTTCTTAATTTACTCTTCTGCATTGAGAACTAAACTGATACAAAGCAAATTCATCTAGCCTGTGCCTGAAATGCATTTTATGAGAACAAGGGTTGAAACTAACATCAAAGATAGCCTTATATGTGTTTTAAGCCATTATGTTCATCACAGGTTGTAGGACCTGTACTGTAGAGGATTGAACAGTGGGTTCTATGTCTTGTATGAAAGGAAAAGAAGCATTCCATCTTGTTTTCCAGAAGGACAGGTTACTTTTTTTGGGGGGGGGGGGTTTGGGAGGTTACTTGTTATTTAACCCTAAGCACTCTCTCACCCATTACTGTTTATGTGACACCAATGTCACTTCCATCACTTGCAAGTCTCTGGGAACTTCTATAACAAGAGTACCAACTCAAATGCATTGTTTTCTCAGTACTAACTTTGAAGAAAAATTATTTTTAGGGAACAATTGCATGGTACTAAATAGTGTTGATGTCATGCGATGGAAATCTCTGAAAGGCCTATGAATAAATGTATTGGAGAGTTCAGTTTGTGATCCCTACAAGAGACTTAATAAAGTTAAAATTTAAAAATCCTATGTTACAATAGTTCTATCATCATTATGTATAGGCAAAAGAGGTGAGAAAACTGCAAGAGATTTCCCTACTCCCTCATTGCTAAGATATTCACATACACTAAAATTCATTTTTTTCCTTTTCCTTCTTGAGACAAGCCCAACTCTTGTAGCCCAGCTAGCTTGGAGTTCATGGTGTATCTGTCTGAATCTGCCCTCTACCCCCACCCCTTGATTCAGTATGTCTTAAGGTTCATCCTTATTTTGCATAGTGTTTTTCTATTGTATGTTTTGCCTGCAGGTATGTCTGTGTACCACACCCATGCCTGGTACCTATGGAGGCCAAAAGAGGGCATCAGATCCCCTGGACTTTTATTACAGATGGGTGTTCACAACCATGTAGAAACTGAACCTAAGTCCTCTGGGAGAGGAGCAAACAATCTTAACTGCCAAGCCATCTCTCCAGCCACCCACTCCTTAAACCCCTATTTTTGAACACACCTTGCTGTGTGGCTCCAACTTGTTTGGAACTTCTAGGTACTAGGTAAACCAAGTTGACCTTGATTTGTGGCTTTCCTTCAGTCTGCCTCCCCAGTGCTGGGATTACAGCTAGCCTGGGATTACAGCTAGCCTTTTGTATGTTTTGCTCCAATCTGAGGCAATCCTGTCTCTGCCTCTCAAATTTTGGGATTATAGGTGTGCACTACACTTCTCAAATGTGCAATACTGCTACCTATATTCCAGGCTAAATTTTGCTATGTAGCCTATGTATTTGTACACATGCACATATGGTACTGACTAAAATAAAGCCTACCTTTTGAAATTAAGTATCAAGGGGGCTGGAGAGAGAACTCAGCAATTAAGAGCACTGGCTGCTCTTCCAAAGGACCCAGGCTCAATTCCCACCATCCATATGACAGCTCACAACTGTTAACTCTCGTTTCAAGGGTATGGCACCCTCATACAGACACGCATACAGGTACACCAATGTACATAATAATAGATCTTTTAAAAGATTATGTATTAAAAGACATAATCCATAATTCAGACCTGATCTGGAAAGACTAAAATTAGATGGAACACACATTTAAAACTGAACTATGTCCAAATGACAACCTGAAACTATACATATCAAAATATTTGGTTGCCTCCCCCATAATCAGACTTTACGGTCTAAGGCCAAAGTGACTGGAAGCCTTGAAAACACTCTAGCTGAACCCTAAGCAGACATGGGGGCCTCTCCCTAGGCAGGCTAACGGGCTGGCAGACATTAAAGAGAAAAGCAGGATCATCTGGCCCACTTGGCTATATTCATCCCCTAGCCTACCCATAAAGGCTAGCCACACTGGTTACCCCAATGCAGGCCTTGGACTACATACTGCCCATGTACCAGAAAAGGAAGGAGGATACAGCACTACCAAACACAATTCAATTACTATGGATGGACTGCTTTAATGTTAAATCATGGCCAGGTCAGTTGCATCATCAAACATTTTTATTGTATGACCATTTTTAACATCCATCCCTTAACCAGCTTACAAAATAAATTTGTCTGCTTTATAGTACTTTCATTAATGTTTAAAACTGGCTACTGAAAATTTCAAAAGTATTAAAATCTAAGATTTGAATGTTCTAAGTTTTTAACCAACAAATTAATTCTAAAATTAGAAACTGCATGGGCTACAGATAACTCCCATACACCTACTTGAGGCAGGCTCATGTAGCCCTAGCTAGCCTCAAACTTAAGATGACTGAACTTCTGACCTTCCTGCCTCCCCTTTCAAGTACTAGCATTAAACAAGAGACTTGGGGCCCCAGGGAGTGGGGAGGTCTGGTGGGGTGTGGGTGGGTGGTGGGGACATCCTCTTGGGAGACAGGGTGCCGGGGGGGGGGGGGGGGGAAGGAGGTGAGAGATGCAGAACAGTTGGAAGATGGGCCAGGAGGGGTATAAAGCATGCACTGTAATAAAAGATTAAAGAATAAAAAAAAAGTCATGCGTACGGATGTTTTGCCTGCCTGCATGTATGTCTGTGTACCACATGCCTATGAAGGCTAAAAGAGGGCACTGGATGCCCCTGGAACTGGAGTTACTGTATTGTAGTGAGCCATCATGGTGCTGAAACTCATCCAATCCTCTGAAAAAGCAGCTACTGCTCTTAACTGCTGAGCCATTTCTTCAGCTCCTCCCCTGATTACATGTACATGATGTAAAATAGAACACCAGCAGAAGACTGTTCTCAAGATAAAAAAAAAAGCTAGCTGAGTGCATCTGGGTGGTTTTGTACAGCCTTCACTTTTCATCCAAACTTAAGGCTGTCTCTCTGCTTCCTAAGCTACAGTAACAAGACAGATGGCTAAAAGGTTAATAAGCCTGTGGTTTGGTGTACCTGAGTATAGTGTACTAAATTAACCTCACATATGAATAGCAAATCTACAAATTCATTTTTCAAAAATTTCCCCACTTTTAGTTTTACCTGGAGAAGCACCATAAGGACACTAGTGCCCTGCACACAGTATGAGGGATGGGTTGTCCCATGAATCTATCTGTCTCCATACTTGCAGATAGGCTTTCACTGGGGCCTGAGACCCTCAGCATGTCTACTCCTGGACTGCAGTGTTTTTTTTAGGAGTCTCAGAGTTAGTCTCCTTAGTTTTTAAAAAGGCCTTGATGGACTCAGCACCCTTGTACTTGACAAAACAACACACTCATCAGGCATTTGGAGTCAACTTCCCTGGGATTTTTATCTTTAAAACTGTCTCTCTCTTTCTTTCTCTTTTCTGCCTTCCTTCTTTCCTTTTGCTTCCATCTTGGAGAGCCACTTGCCTCAGCCTCCTGAATACCAGGATTAAAGGTGTACACCACCACTGCCTGGGTTCTAACTGGGTTTCTTGATGTCATTTCTGGACTGGTTGTATGTATGTGGTGTTCTTAACTTGGCAACATCTACATAGTAACTGGTAGTTCCTGAAGAGCCTGGACTGAAAAAGAACAAGCTCCTCAAAGCTTTTACTTGAGGCAGGGTACAAAGGAGGTCTTGTTACTACTGGAGGCCAGAAGAGAGCATCAGACCCTTTGAGTTGGAGTTACAGATATCATCTGGCAGCAGAACTCAGGTCTTTTGCAAATGTAGCAAGACCCTGGGCCATCTTTCTGAGTACTTTGTTTCTAAAGCTCAAGTCCAATTTTACTAGAGTTTGAGAGAACAACAGAGCAGGCACACTGTAAATCTCTGCAGCTGCCATGGAGAGGGAGCTGAAGAAGAAAAAGAGAGGAAGAATACCATTTAGTTAAAAGTAAGTAGGCAGGAGTAGGGCTTCGGAGAATGAGTGGAAATGCCCCGAGTGTCAGGAAAAGGATGCCCATTGTTTTTACCAGTATCAAGAAAACAGAAGACGGGAGAGCTCTTCTGAGTCACTGACAAAGTAGGCAGGATGAGGAGTGCAGGCTCTGTAAGTGGCTCCTGTTTCCCTACGACCAGGTCTTACTGGAGAGCTGGGTCAATACTGAACTTCTGGTCTGCCTGTTTCAGCCTCTTAAGTGATAGGGAATTATAAGTCGGATCCACCACACTGTTTCAGGTTTAGTTTTGCTTAACTATGATGAATGCTATATGATCTATAGAAATAGGAGCCCCAGAGACAATTACACATTGCTTTTCACTATCTTGCCCAGATACATGAAAAAAGCATAACTGTAACCTTTGTCTGTCCTCTAAGGACAAACGTAAAGTCACCTAACAGTGTTTTCAGTGTCATTTTTATTCCCCATTCATACTCTCTAAGCCAGGGGTTCCCAACTCATGGGTTGAGACCCCCACAGGGATCGAATATCAGATATTTACATTATGATTCATAACAGTACCACAGTATGAAGTAGCAATGAAATAATTTTGTGTTTGGGGCTCAACACAACATGAGGTACTGTATTAGGAAGGTTGAGAACCATTGCCCTAAGCTCTGTGAAATGCAAGTTAGAATTCTGTCTTCAAGTTTGTTTGCATCACAAGTACTGATTGGTCTGGTGTTCCATCACTGCTGTCTGTCTTTGCTGAGTGTTCCTCACAAATCTGAGCAGATTGATGATGGCAGCTGGTGTCACTCCAGGAATACGACTAGCAGCCCCAATCTAGGAATTAAGATGACAAAAGAACCAAAATGAGCGATGTCAAATCAGATGTTCTCTCCCCACAAGCTCTTTATAGGACAGGCTGTAAGCTAGTTAGATTCTCAGTGGGGGTCAGACTACACTGACCAGGTAACTTTTGAACTCTTGGGCTAAAGAGATCCTCCTTCATTTCAGTCTCTCAAGTAAGAAGTTAGGACTACAGGCAGATGCCATCAAAGCCAGCTCCTAAAAATTATCTGCGGGCTGGAGAGATGGCTTGGTACTTAAAAGCACTTGTTTCTCTTGCAGAAGATGCAGGTTCAGTTCCTAGCACCCACATGGCAGCCCACAAGCATCTGTTAACTCCAGTTCCAGGGGATTTACAGTGTGCCCTCTTTTTCTGTTTTCTATAAGCACTGGGCATGCACATGTTGCCTATACATACATGAAGGTAAAACATTCATACCCATAAAAAAAATCTGAATGTCATTAAAAATGGGTTTGTAAAGAGGATAAGGGAAATGAGACATGACTTATGTCTTCAGCTCAGAAGTTTTAAAATGATGTATGCAAGAGCATATCGTTGTTTTTGTATGTTTGTTTCTCTGTGTAGTCCTGGCTGTTCTGGAAGTTGCTCCATAGACCAGGCTGGCCTCGAACTCAAAGCAGTCCACCTGTCTCCTTAACTATATGCAAGTACTGGGATTAAAGGCAAGTGTTCCCACTGCTCGGCTAGATCGTAAGAAAATTGGACATGCATGTAATCACAGCACTTAGGAGGCATCATGCCAGAAGGACTACAAGTTTGAAGCTAGCTTGGTCACAGAAGGAAACCATATCCCAACAAAGCAAGCTACTTTCAGGTCTTGGTACACACCTGCAATCCTAGTATTTTGAAGAGTGAGGCAGAAAGATCTTAAGGGCAGCCTGGGCTACAAAGACTCTTACCCCCTTCTTCCCCCTTCCCATAATGTTACAATATCTTTTTCTTTCCATTAAAAAAGTCTGTGGGAGAGCTGGAGCGGCGACTCAGTGATTAAGAGCACCTGTTGCTGATTCAGAGGATCAGCATTCAGCTCCCAGTACCCACGGGGTGGCTAGCTCACAACCATAACTCCACTTTCAGGGGATCTGAATCTGATACCCTCTTCTGGCCTCCACAGGCACCAGGCACACATGTGAAGCAGGCAAAACACTCATACATATAAAACAAGAAATCTTTCCCTTCCTCCCCCACTCCCTCCCTTCCTTTCTTGAAAATACGTAGTATAGATGGCAATTCACACAGATTCACAACTGCCAGCATATGGAAACCATGTGACTTTGGAATGCTCAGCCATAAACGAGACATCTGTACCAACACTCTTCCCTTCAAAGCACAAGGATCTTTGAGGAAGAGAGGACAGATGATGCTAAGATGATGCTAAGAAAGAAAACAGTGTTTCAAAACACAACAGACAAGACCTGCTCAAGTTCCAGGAGTGGGTGAGGGGAACACAAAGTCCCACCTCTAGCTTGTAATTTAATAATTATGGGGGGGAGGAGAGAAGAATATCTTTTTTTAATATAAGAAATAAAACTGAATGCTTGCATTAAACTGCTTTGCCTCAGTGGTTGCACAATACCAACGACTAGGTAATAAGGAAAAGAACATTTTGAAGTACATACACAGTTAAGACTAAATCACGGGGTGGGAGAATTCTAGCTCTCCTCTCCTAGAAGCTTACAAAATAAATATGGAATCCTGAGAGGGATCCAGGGAATGATTTGAAACCACTAAAATGTATTCTAGTTTAACTTAAAAGGATTATGTCATATGATTACACACACACACACACACACACACACACACACACACACACACACATATATATATAAAATATGACATATATACATATGACCAGTTACTTCAATTAAGCTCAGCTTTCTCATCTCTCACAGAGACAGATCAACATCTATCCTACAGAAAGAAAATAAGAGGCTAGATTTCTTTTCCTTTTTAGAACTATTTTATTTTATGCATATGAGGCTTTGCCCACGTGTATGTACGTTCATCATGCACATGCAATAATAGCCTCAGAGGTCAGAAGGGGAGATCAAATTTCCTGGAACTAGAGTCATGGATGGTTGTGAGCCACCATGTGGGTGGCTGGGAACCAAACCCAAGGCCCTTCACAAGTGCTCATAACCCGCAGCATCAGCTCTTTCTTATAATTAAAGTACTAGCCCTTGTTGGCTTTGCTTAGAACTTGCTCCCACTGCTTGTTTGCTTACCGTCTGTGGGCGACTCAAGTGTAGCTTCTCTCGAACTTCCTGGGACAATGACACATCCCTGACTGTTAGATAGTCTAGATCTTGTGGAAGTTGCAAAGCTTCATCTTGCTGAACCTCCTTTATTTCTTGTAGTTGAGACAACAATACTGACTCGTAAGTGGCTGGTGAATAAAATTAGAATTATATTTTGATACACATATTACACTAATAACCTATACTTGGATAACCCTTTACTATTTACAAATAGCTTACACACGCATCATCTCATTCAACAGGACACTTTGAGGTAGGTGAGGTAGATAGTCTGTTTTCTTGTTTTGTTTTGGAACAGACTCTCATGTAGCCCAGGCTAGCCTCAAACTTGCCACACAGTGAGCATGACCCTGAACCTCCTGAGGATGACCATTCCTTCCTGAGGAAAAGGGAACCGAAGGTTACCATGGAGATGAATACAACCAAGGATGACCTTAAACTGCTGATTGTTATCCAGACTGTACTGCAAAGTGGGAACACTACATGAATCTGCCACCATGCCCAGCTGACTCTGACTGTCTTGTCCGTGCAAATCTCATTTGTAACATTAAATATTAAGTCCTAAAGAAAATGTTTCTCTAAGTGATTTTTACAAGAAGCTGTATGTGCATGTGTATAGTGCAGGGTGGCCCCAGGGATTAATCCCATGGCCTATACATAACAGACAAGTAGCTCTACTACTCAGCTATGCCTCCAGAGGCTATGCCACCACGGCCCCCAAACAGTAATTTTTAGATATGGGCTTTCTCAGTTGGTAAACCTAATTTTTACAATTTATATAAGGTGTTTATTGGCTGGGCAGTGGTGGTGTACGCCTTTAATCCCAGCACTTGGGAGGCAGAGGCAGGCAGATTTCTAAGTTCGAGGCCAACCTGGTCTACAGAGTGAGTTCCAGGACAGCCAGGACTACACAGAGAAACCCTGTCTCGAAAAACCAAAATAAAAAAAAAAAAAGGTTTTTATTAAGAAGTAATGTTATGAAGAGAGCGTGGCAATTATTTTGTCAAGCATTCTATTCTTAGAAAATTAAAGCCAAACTTTAAAAGACCAACCTTGTTTGGTGGTCCTAGTAATAAAAAGCCTGGGACACCGAGGGCCTCCTGAGTGCTAGGCAGGAAGACACACTCTACCATTACTGCTGAGTTATGTCCCAGGCTGAGTTGAACAGGAAGACCTTTTACACTCCTGCCTCCATTTCCCAAGCTGGGACAGCAGGCCTGTGAGAACAGGCCCAGCAAAATCTACCTTAAAACAAGAGTTGAGGGCTGGAGAGAAGACTCAGGGTTTAAGAGTCCACACTACTCTTTCAGAGGAACTGAGTCCAGTTCTTAGCAACCATGTCAGATGGCTCACAACCACCATTCACCCAGTTCCATGGGATCCAATTCCCTCTTCTCAGTTCTTAGGCAGATCCTGTGCCACTGCCTCCAACATAATCAAAAAGTAAAAACCAGCCGGGCGGTGGTGGCGCATACCTTTAATCCCAGCACTTGGGAGGCAGAGGCAGGCGGATTTCTGAGTTCGAGGCCAGCCTGTTCTATAGAGTGAGTTACAGGACAGCCAGGGCTATACAGAGAAACCCTGTCTCGAACCCCCTCCCCCCCAAAAAAAAGTAAAAACCAAACCAAAACAAATCTTAACAAAATCTAAATTGAGGCAGTCCTTCCATCTTGTTCAACAAAGGATAACTTCTTTTTTCTCCTTTCTTCCCTCCCCCCTTCCCTCCCTTTTCTTTGAGACAGAGTTTTACTGTGTAGCCCCAGCTGTCCTGGAACTCACTGTAAACTAGGCTGGCCTCAGAGAGATCCCCCACATCTGCCTCCCGAGAGCTAGGATTAAAGGTGTGGGTCATGACACACCTACTACCCAGCATGCACTACACTATAGGTTCTATAAACAAGTTCCAGATCAGCCTGGACTGTATCAGACCCATTTCAATAAAGGGGGTAGGGTATGCACAGTGTACAGGAATTTCTGCCACACCTGAAGACCTGAGTTCACTCCTCAGAATCTACAGAAGGAGAGAACTGACTCCTGTAAGTTGTCCTTTGACTTCCATGGAATGAGCACATGCTCACACATACTCTGACATACACTTTAGACCACGTGGTGACTTGAACAACAATGGCTTCCACAGGCTCATATATTTGAATACCTGACTCTCAGTGAGTAAAACTCTTTGGAAGATACAGAGATGTAGCCTTGTTGGAGAAAGTGTGTTGGCTGAGCCCATGCAAGGCCCAGTGATTCTCTGTGACTGCTGCTGGGATCAGGATGTAAAGCTTCCAGCTACTGCTCCCGCACCATGCTTGTCTGCCTCTTGCCATGACCACCATGGACTAATCCTCTAAAACGGTAAACAAGCCCTCAATTAAACGGTTTCTTTTAGAGTTGTCTTGGTCATGGTGTTGCTTCCCAACAATAGACAGTAAGTAAGACTGGCCACAGTGCTAATATCGGTCCGGAACAAGGCAGTTCTAAGTAGGCATAAGGCAGTGCATCAATACAACAAATTATAATGCAAAGGTTTTTTTGAGACAGGGTCTCACTAAGTAACCCTGGCTGTCCTGGAACTCAGTTTGTAGACCAGGCTGCCCTCAAATTCACAAAGAGTCACCTGCCTCTGTCTCTCGAGTACTGGGATTAACGGCATGTCCATGCAAAGTTTTGTTTTCTTTAAAACTGAGTTTCATATAGTCCAGCCTCCCAAGTGCTAGGATTACATGGGAATGCTTCACCATACCTGGCACAATTTTATGATTCATAAATAGGCCTCAGGGTATAATGGGATTCGACGGTTAATACTGACTACTGATTTGACAAAATTTAAAGGCATTGTGGAAATTTGAGTATGTCTGTTAGGATGTTTCTGAAATGGTTTAAGTAAAGAATGAAGAGGTGGCACCATCCCCAGGTCAGGCCCACACGTCACAGGAGGAGAGAGGAAGCTGAGTGCTGGCATCTCTGCCTCCTTTCTGTGGATGAACTGGGACCAACTGCCTCATTTTCAGCAGGCCACAGTAAGATGCTCTCACCAGCAGGCTTTCCCACCAGGATGGACGTTGTCTCCTGAAGCCATGAGCCAAAACCCATGACCAACGCTCCAGGTGGTTCTCTGGCACCTTGTTACAACAACGAGAGTAACTATGTTACTAGTAGGGTAGTCGAGACCTTTCACTGGCCATGGGCATAGTTATTTCATCTCTCAAATAGAAATTGCAAAATAGGAAAGATAATAAAATATAACACTGAGCTCTGCCCTCAAGAAACTTGTCTAGGGGCTGGCTGGCATGTAGCTCAGTTGGCAGAGGACTTATCCGGCATGTTTTCAGCCCTAAATCCTTGTATTCTAAATCCTGTCAAGTTGATAATCGATATTAATCATCACACTCCAGCACTGCACAGAACCAGGCATGGTGACATACACCTGCAATCCCAGCACTTAGAAAGTAGAAGGCAAAAGGGCTTAAAAGTTAAAGGTCGCCGGGCGGTGGTGGCGCACGCCTTTAATCCCAGCACTTGGGAGGCAGAGGCAGGCGGATTTCTGAGTTCGAGAGTTCGAGGCTAGCCTGGTCTACAGAGTGAGTTCCAGGATAGCCAGGGCCACACAGAGAAACCCCTGTCTCGAAAAACCAAAACCAAAACAAAAAACAAAGCAAAGAAAAAAGTTAAAGGTCACGTTTGTTTTTTTTGGTTTTCTGTTTTTTAAACAAACAAACAAACACACACACACACACACACACACACACACACACACACACATCACTACCACCACCACCAAAATACAAACACAAAAACCACTGGAGAATGGTTAAGAACTCTTGCTGAACTTTGAGGCCAGCCTGGTATACAGAGCAAGTTCCAGGCCAGCCAGGGCTACACAGAGAAACCCTGTCTCAAAAACGCAAAGGAAACAAAGTGAGCATTTGCTGCTCTTGTGTTTCACCCATGTCAGGCAGCTCACAACAGAAGTCTGTATCTCTAATTCTAGAGGATCAGATACCCTCTTCTGTACTCCATGAGCAGCTGAATACATGTGCATACACAGGCAGACATAATCACATAAATGTACATAAAAATAAAATTTAAAAAGAATTAAAAGAAATTTGTCAAGTTGGGGAAATTCAAGTAGTAACTTGAAAATCACCCATATATATTCTACTTTAACCCCATGTGGTTTCTCCTAAATCTCAAGTAGCTGCTAGAATTTTTATAAGCATTAGCCCTTTTTTAAAAAAAGATGTATTTTTTTACTTTATTTATGAGTACACAGTAGCTGTTTTCAGACACCAGAAGAGGGCATTGGATCCCATTACAGGTGGTTGTGAGCCACTATGTGGTTGCTGAGAATTGAACTCAGGACCTTTGGAAGAGCAGTCAGTGCTCTTAACCGCTGAGCCATCTCTCCAGCCCAGCAGTAGCCTCTTTCTCCCCCCCCCATTAATTTATTTACTTTAAATCCCAGTTGCTGCCCCCTCCCCCATTACCCTAAGCACTAGCCTTTAAAGAGCAAGGAACAGACTCCATGGCTGAATTACTTCCTATAAATAGGTTAATGATAAACACTTTTGGACTATGCTAACTGGAATCTAATATATTTACTGAACAAAGTAGAGCTGCACACTAAGTTGAAAATCTGTCATCTAAACAGCTGTTTCCAGTGCTACACCCCAATATCTCAAGTACTCAGTAGAGAAATAGTAATGGTGAAGTTAAATCTGAGTCCTTCCTATATGTTGTCATTCGGAATACTGAGTAGCTTGAGTTTTAAGATTTCACAAGCTATTTTGAATCGTGTGTGTATGTGTGTGTGTATGTGTGATGTTTGTGCATACAACTGTAGCAGTCTGTGGAGGCCAGGGGACTTGGATCCCCTAGAGCTGCAGTTGCAGGTGGTTGTGAAGCATACCTGATGTGGTTGTTGGAAACTGTACCCTGATCCTCTGGAAGACGAGCATACGCTTTAACCACTGAACCGTCTTTCCAGTTCCATCTGCATTATTTAAATTAAATTAAATTTTTTTTGTATTGGGTCATTTGGGAAAATATTTCTAGAATCTCTGGTAGGTTTCTCTTTGTTGTTACCCTTTTATAAAATAACACCAGGAATGGCAGGCAACACACATCACTCTACACAGGCACCGCCCAGTTAGCTGCTGCCCAGCGATGCACGGAATGCAACATTCTCATCACCCTGGCTGCTCCCCAAGGAGGAGGCTTTTTCTGTATAAACAACACACAGCTTTCCCCACCATTCCCACAATCACCCTGTTCTGCACTCCTTACTGTTTAGCTTTCTATTGGAGGACAAACCTATGAAAATGCAGAGCCTATATCGTCCTCAGGCCTCGTCACCTTGCTCAGCAAACACTGCTCTGGATGGGTCTTCTGCTCACTCATAGTCTGCACATATGAAAAGGGATAGCACCACCTAAGGAAGACAACTCTCCTTACCTTCTATTTTCAGTCTTCTGGCGAGCTCTCTACATGCAGCATACTTCTTCAAGGGTTCGGGAACCACACTGGCTAGTGACTCCATGTCTACTTCTTCATACTTAAGAACATCCAGAGCACTGTCAGTGGAAAAAGTTTTATCAACAAAAGGATCCATGTCCTGTAAACCAAGCTAAGAACAAAATTCCTTGGAATATACTAAACATTAGATTAAAAGGGACTTTCAATTTTTTTTTCTAAGTATAGTGAGCAAACGTAGTAGTACCTGGCCAGATGTGGTGGCACACACCTTTAGTCCTAGAGCTTAAGAGGCAGAGGTGGAAGGATCACTGTGAGTTCAAGACCACCCTGGTCTGTATAACCAGCCAGGGCTGTATAGAGTGAATATGTCTCAAAATAAAATAATATAATAAATAATAAATAAAAAGTAAAACATTTGCAAAGAAGATCATCTAAGAATAAATAATTGAACTCTCTGTGCCTGCTAATGCACGCCTATGACGTAGCAGCTGAGGTGAAGAGCAGGAGCACTGTGAGTGCAAAGCCATCCTCAAGAACACTAGCGCGAGCACTAAACTCCCTAACAGCAGCACTTACTCTGACTCCTTATCACTGTAACTGTGGTGTTGTTAATTATGTAGTAATTATGCTGTCATGAGGCTGTTGCCTTCCACTGTCCTCTTTAGAGTCCTATGATGGAGACATCCTTTTGTGTGCTAGGGTTCAGATATCCTTTGTGTCCCTCAAAGATGTATGCTCTGGAAGTACGTCTTTAATGTCATACTGCTGAGGCCCACACTTTAAGACAGGACTAGGTCTCTGTTCTTCAGAGGAGGTTATGCTACTTTACGAAGTTAGTGCTCACGTTACTGAGTTCTTGTCAGAAGAACAAGCTTGACACCTAGATTTCTAGCTTCCTATATTTCTATACAGTTTCTAAAGATCAGCACATGCTCTTAACTGAAGAGATAGCTCTCTAGTCCCATATGAGTTTTTTTAAACTTAAATGTACTCCTGCTGCTGTGAAGCAACTGGCCATAACACCCTCAGCAGAGGTTAAAGAGAGGAAGCTGCCTAACTTTGGAAGTTTCAGTCTCTAAATTGGTAGCCAGATAAACATTCTTTTTAAAAAAATAAAGTTTACTGCCGGGCGGTGGTGGCACACGCCTTTAATCCCAGCACTTGGGAGGCAGAGGCAGGCGGATTTCTGAGTTCAAGGCCAGCCTGGTCTACAGAGTGAGTTCCAGGACAGCCAGGGCTATACAGAGAAACCCTGTCTCAAAAAAACAAAACAAAACAAAAGAGTATCCTTTAGGCTCAGAAGCCACATAACTAAACGGAAGGAAACAAAATCTCAAATGTGACATGATCCTTCAAAAAAATTATATAGAATATAACACTAAAAAACCAAAAAATACTATGTTTTTAAAAATTAAACAATTTTCCTTGCTGTAAACCATGTATTAGATGTATTAGCTGGGACCACTCTAATTTTTGAGCCTAGCAAAGAAAATGGATTCTTGTATTTCTTTTGGTTTGAAGCCTCTAATTCTGAGGAAAACCAAAAGAATTCAATGGGAACCACAAAGAAATTGTACATATACAAAAAATTAAGAATTGATCTGGAGAGATGGCTCAGGGGTTGAGGGCACTGGCTGCTATTTCTGAGGATCTGGGTTTGCTTCCCAGCACCCACAGGACAGCTCATAACCATCTGTAACTCTAGTTCCATGGGATATGACACCCTCTTCTGGTTCCCTGGGCACCAGGCATGCATACGATACATGTATATACATGTAGGCAACACACACACACACACACACACACACACACACACACATCTTTCTTTCTTTCTTTCTTTCTTTCTTTCTTTCTTTCTTTCTCTCTCTCTTTATAATCAAACATAAATATATTTATTAAGATATTTTTTTGCTAAGTATGGTGGTATATGCTACTACCTGGCACTTGGGAGGCAGAGAATTCAAGGTCTCACTTATGGGAAACATGCATTCTATTCAAGCTACATGCCCAGCCATATACATTTTACATTTTATTTTCTTTTTCAATTTATTTTTCAAGACAGGGTCTTATGAGCTCAGTTTAGACCCTACTTTGTTATAAAGCTACAGCAGAGACAGACCTGAAACTTCTGGTCCCTATCCCCACCTCCTAATTGCCAAGATTAATGTCATACATGATATATATATATATGCTGTGTTCATTTAAAATGTGTAGATGGGGGTTTACATATGATGTCTCTATATCTCATTTTTCTGTAAAGACTAAGAAAAGTCTACACTGAAAATCATACCTGACAGGATGGCTTCTATTAATACTTATAGGAGTCTGTGGGATTAACTTTTTCCACTTGGAGCTTGAAAACTTAATGGATTTCAACACAGAAATACCTTCTTCTAAAGATGACTTCATCCACAAAGCTCTTTCATATCGCTGTGGGGACACACAGCCAGCTTCCTTATGGGCTAGGAATGAAGAGGGAGAAAGAGGTTTTAAAGAACAGCAGAGCACAGGGTGTGGCAGCACACACCTATAATGTAGTGCTTAGAGGAAAGCAGGGAAGACTGCATGCATGGGATTCAAGGCTGGCCAGGCTACACATGGAGACCTTGTCTCAACAGCTCCCACCAACACCCACTTCCCAAGGCTGGATGTAGTAGTCACCTACTACTTGACAGGTGTGGTCAAGAAGAACAGGAATTCAAAGTCATCTTAGACTACACTGTAAGAGATCCTGCCTCAAAACAACTACACAAACCAATAAACACCAGCAGTGAAATACAAGACTCATTAAAAGTTACCTCGGAATGTGAGCCGGGTGTCAGCATTATCTGGGCGCAGTGACAAACGGAACTCTACTCTGCTAGTGAACATTCGGTATGGTTCACTGGTGCCAAGGGTGGTGAGATCATCAATCAAGACTCCTATATAGCCTTCTGTGCGACTCACAACAAAGGGTGGTTTTCGATTGACTCTTAGACTGGCATTGATTCCAGCTATCACCCCCTAGAAGAGGACTGAAATGTTTAAGAGGCCATTATGAACTGGAAATAGCTACTCTACTCAGCACACTATGTAGAAAAAACCCACACAGGGAAAGAGCTGGGCAATGGTGGCTCATAATCATCTGTATCTCTAGTTCCATGGGATCTAAGGCCGTGTTCTGGCCTCCACAGGCACCAGGCATACACGTGGTACACAGACAAACATGTGGACATAACACCCATACACATAAAATAATATAAGGTGAGAACACTTGAGAAAAGCATCTAACCTCTCTGACCTCAACATGCACAAATGCACACTCACAACACACAAAGCCAGAATAGTAATAACAATATGATCAGTTACAGATACCTTCAAAGAATTAAATATTCTTTTTTACATTTTAGAAGCAATTCCATATTTTTACAACATGCTAGGAACTCAGAAACTAGCTGTAAGTTCTTTCAAAATCATCTCCCACAACCTGGGGCCACATGGCACACATGCCTGCAATCCCAGCACGAGGGAAGGGAAGCAGAGAGATCAGCAGTCTGAGCTGGGAGTGGTGGTGCATGCTTTGGATCTCAGTGGTAGGAAGGTAAAGGTGGGACTGAATTTTCAAGGGCAGCCTTGGCTATACAGCAAGTTTGAGGCCAGTCTGGGCTACATGAGTCCCTATCTGAAAAACAAAACAAAATAAAAGATGAGTCTGGGCTACATAGTAAGATCCTATTTCAAAACAGAACAAGTATACTATATGAAATGACTATCTCAACTTAGCCTGAAATACTGTTGTATCCAAGATCTGTATAATTAACACAACAGACAGTATGAAATGCACACTAATAAAATGGCCTTTTTGTTTATAGTACCATCTGAATAAACTCTTACCTGGAACTGGGTGGGCATGGTGGCTTACGCCATTAGTCCTAGCACTTGGGAGGCAGAGGCAGGTAGATCTCTGAGTTTCAAGTTGTCCTAGTTTACATAGTATAGTGAACGTCATAGCCAAGACTACATAGAGAGACACAGTCTTAAGCAAAACCAAACCAAACCTCACCTGAGCCGCAGCTTCCTCATAGCCAGTGGTTCCATTTATCTGTCCGGCAAAGAACAGCCGCTGAACTAAATGTGTCTCGAGGGAAGGACTGAGCTGACGGGGATCTAAATAATCATACTGAACACCATAGCCTGACCAAAGAACAAGAGCACAGAGTCAGTCAGAAGAGCCGCACGTGGCTCAAGGAGGGAACTCAAAGCATAGCAGAGCACATCACAGGTGTAGATGCTGGGCTCCATCTATCTTACATATTTTGACACAGGGTCTTGCTATGTAGCCACACACTGCCTCAAACTTGCAGAGGGCTTCCTGTTTTAGCTTCCCAAGTACTAGGATTACAGATGTATGTTCCCCCATGTCCAGCTTGGGCTACTTTATAGAGTGCTAATCAACAGCAGGAGTGGCGAAGACCACCTCACTGCTTACACTGAGGAGCGCCTGGGGCCCTCTTTACCTGGATGAACCATTTTGGCTTTCTCCAAGCCTCTGATGCATGTTATCATTTTCTCCTGTAACTCAGCTGGTAGTGTAACAGACAACCCTTGTGGGTAGATGAGATCAGAATCCAGTCCTTCAGGCTCCAACCAAACCTGATGTAGACGGTTTGGAAAACGTAAAATTTTTGATTCAATAGAAGGACAGTATCTAGAATAAGACATTGAAATTTAAAGTGAATTTGAAGACAGAAAAACGTTTACCTCATTCCTTAAAGTAATTAAGCACTCACGTTTGTCCTTACCGGGGCCCTCTTGTAGTTTCCTTAACATGGCTATTCAGGTGAAGGTTCTCAAGGACAATCTCATCCACTCTGGGGTTGGTGTGAGTCAAGTAACATGGCAGTTGATCTTCTGGCTAGAAGATACATTGCAGACTTCACCTGATTGTCTGGTTGAGACAGGGTCCCCAGTAGCCTAACTAGCCTCGAACTCTTTGGAGAGAAGCTCTCCTTAACCTCTGGTTCTCTTGCCCGAGCTCCTGACTGCTGTGACTGCATGAGGGCCATTGCTCCTTTACCTACTGATGTGCCTGCCTCCTATCCGAATAAATCCTATACAATACTGACTTCCTTTAACTCACATCAAGTTTGTACATAATTAAATGTTCTGGCCAAAAATAAACATATATCCCAGCTGGGCGTTGGTGGCGCACGCCTTTAATCCCAGCACTTGGGAGGCAGAGACAGGCGGATTTCTGAGTTCGAGGCCAGCCTGGTCTACAGAGTGAGTTCCAGGACAGCTAGGGCTACACAGAGAAACTCTGTCTCGAAAAACCAAAAACCAAAAACCAAAAAACCCAAAAAAACCAACATATATCCCAATAGGTGAACCTAAACATAAGAAGTTTCTAAATCTAATTATCAGTTTCTGGGAAAAAAATGTACAGGCAATCATCTGACAAATCTAGGATATGTAAAGTCCTGGGGGGGATATGACTTAAATTCTTTTGTAAACAAATACTGGGGACAGGGGCAACAGATATAAAACAGCGTCTAGTGGAATGTGGACATTTCTCTCTTGGTCAATAAACTACTGCAAGAAACACACCCAAGGGATGATGATGTGGGTCAATCTGAGTTCCCATAGTGGAAGGAGACAACTCCTACTAGTTGTCCACCATTAGCATGTGATCGTCACATGAAGTCATAGGCCACATAGGTGAGGGAGTGGGAGGGAGAGAGAAATCAAGGGGGTACAGGGAAGAAACACACATACATACAAATAAAATTATGTTTGAGGAAATTAGGACATTATGAAATTATGTTTTAGCCAGGTGGTGGTGCTCTACCTTAATTGAAATATACTACTTCTTAACATTTTTAAGCCAAAAGCTTGAACCATCCATTAAAGAATCATAAAACTAGCTGCATGCATGGTAGTGGCCCATGCCTTTAATCCCAGCACTCAGGAGACAGAGGTAGATGGATCTCTGAGTTCGAGGACAGCCAGAGGTACATTAGAAAAACCTTCTCAGAGCCAGGCAGTGGTGGCGCACGCCTTTAATCCCAGCACTTGGGAGGCAGAGGCAGGAGGATTTCTGAGTTTGAGGCCAGCCTGGTCTACAGAGTGAGTTCCAGGACAGCCCGGGCTACACAGAGAAACCCTGTTTCGAAAAACCAAAACCAAAACCAAAACCAAAACCAAAACCAAACCAAACCAACCCCCCCCCACACACAATAAAAAAGATAAAAAAAAAAAAACCCAAAAACCTTCTCTTGAAAAACACCACAAAACCAAAAAAAAATCCCTTCTCTTGAAAAACACCAAAAAAAAAATTTTTTTTTTGCTGATGTTTTAGTAGGGCATAGTGCTTCATGTCGATGATCCCAGCACTTGGGAAGGTGAGGCAGGAAGCCTTACTAAAGTCACACAGCAAGACCCTATCTCAAGAAAACCTCAATACTAAACAAAGTTTAGTTGTGATAATACTGTGAGCTGTTCTTTGTTAAAGACATGTAAAAATATAAATGAAATGAACTGATATCTATACGTCTCAAAAATCATCAAAAAGGAATGGAACTGAGCCACCAAAATGACTCAGTAGCCAGGAGACGGTGATGCATGCCTTTAATCCCAGCACTTGGGGGACAGAGGCAAGCAGATCTCGAAGCCAACTTGTCTAGAGAGTAAGTTCTAGGTCAGGGCTACATAGACTCCACCTCAATCAACCAATCAATCAATCATTCAGTGGCTCAGGGGAGAAGAATACTTGTCACTGAGCCTCATCACCTGGGTTCGATGCCTGGAACCTACCTGACAGAACCACCTTGCCTCCTTCAAGTTGTCCTCTGACTCCCACCTGAGTGTCACAGCACAGGACACCCACACAAGTAAATACATGTTTTTAAGAGTGTAAAACAGCCAGGTAAAGTGGCCCATACCTTCAATCCTGTACTAGAGCAGACACAGGTGGATCTTCAAGAACTCAAGGCCACCCTGGTCTACAGTCTGAGGCCAGTCAGGGCTATATAGTGAGAATCTATCTAAAAACCAAAACTATAAAATTAAGAGGAATGAAACAAGCCAGACATGGTGGCTCACACCCATAAGCTCCACACTTGGAAGGATCATCCATGAGTTCCAGAAAATCTTGGTTCAGCTACACTGTTGAGATCCTATCGAGAGAGAGAGAGAGAGAGAGAGAGAGAGAGAGAGAGAGAGAGAGAGAGAGAGAGAGAGAGAGAGAGAGAGAGACACAGACAGAGAGAGAGGTGTGTGTGGGGGTGAGGTACGGGGTGGGGTGGGGTGAGATGGCTCAGCAGTAAAAAGCATGTACTACTGCTTTTGCAGAGGGCTCAGTTCTCAGCACAGACATTAGCTGACTTACAACCACATGTAACTCTAGCTCCAGGAGTATCTGATGTCTTTAGCATGCACAGGCACCTTTGCTCCCATGTATATACAAAAATGAAACAAACAAACAAACCCTTTAATTAAAGAGAGAGAGAAAGAACAACACAATTGTATCTAAAAGTTAACTCATTCTAGCTCCCAAATTTGTGAAATGTTTGAGACAGGCTCTCACAAAGTAGCAGAGGCTACCCTCAAACTCACAAATCTTGCTGCCTTAGCTTCCTGAGTGCTAGGTTTTAAGTGTGTGCCTGCTTTAAACTTGAAAAAATACAGGGTCTCATGTAGCCCAGACTGATCTCAAACTTACTATGTAGCTGAGGGAAACCTCTGATGCTGTTTTCCACCTTTCAAGGGTTAGGGTTAAAGGTAGATATATACCGTTCATGTGGTACTGGGGAACAAACCAGGGCTTAGCACTCTCCCAGGTAAACTACATTCCTACCCACCCAAACTAACAAATTAAAATAAAAAACTTAAAGCACATGAGAAACAGGCAGGAAGACTGGATGGCATATACAACAAGACCCTGTCATCAAAAAAGTTAAAAGTACACAGGCTAAGAATTAGTCATTGTACTAAGCAGGCAAGACAGCTCACCTGGAAAAGACTCATAGCCAAGCCTGATGCCTGACTTTAACTCCAGGGACCCACACAGTAGAAGAATGGACTCTCACAGGTTGTTCTGATTTCCACTACATGCCATAGTACTTGTGCACACACATCCGCATGTGCGCATGCAAACACACACACTGATAAAAATGGCTTGTTCAAATTAATAAAATATTTAGAACTACTCACATCAGGAAAATTTTGGACTTCAATTACTAATACTTAATTCAGATTATTATTATTTTGAGTGTATGAGGTTTTGCCTGAATGTATATCTGTGTATCACATGCATGCAGTGTCTGTAGAGGGAGTCAGATCCCCTGGGACTGGAGTGACAGACAGTTGTATGCCATTATGTGGGTGCTGGGAATTGAACGGGGGTCTGCTGAAGAGCCGACAGTGCTCTTAACTATTGAGACATATCTCCAGGCCCCTAATCCTTAATTCTAACCAAACACTGTACTTACTTTTTCCATTTAAAGGACAGGTGGGGACAGGGAGTGTATCTCAGTGACAGAATACTCATCTCGTATGTGCAAAGCCTAGGTTCAATAACCAATATAACCCTCCTCCTAAACCCAAAAACCAAAAACATAATGCAAAAAGTATGAGCTATCAAGACAAATCAGTAGGTGAGGGCAGCTGCTGCCAAGCCTGAAAACCTGACTACAGTCTACCCATGTGGTAGGACAGAACTGATTCCTGAAAGTTGCTGTTTGACTTGCATAAGCGTGCATCACATGCAAACAAACACAGAAATAAATTTACGAATAAATGTGAAAACAATGCAAATACAGAAGTGGGGGTGGTGACTCTGTGTGACACTGGGAAATCAGTAGACTCTGGCTAGGGACTATCTATTAGATAACAACACTGGATCAGTATGACAATCCTCAAATTTCAACACCGCACTGCATTTATATTATAGGACATCTGTGTTTAGTTAAGATTCAGATTGAAGGGCTGGTGAGATGGCTCAGAGGTTAAGAGCACTGACTGCTCTTCCAGAGGTCATGAGTTCAAATCCCAGCAACCACATGGTGGCTCACAACCATCGGTAATGATATCTGATGCCCTCTTGTGGGGTGTCTGAAGACAGCTACAGTGTACTTACATATAATAAATAAATAAAAATTTTAGAAACAAAAAAAAAAAAAAAAAAAAGATTCAGATTGAATTATTTAGAGAAGGCTCACAATCTCTGCAACTTACTATCAAATGTTTCATAAAGAGAAATGGGCATTTTATTGCACTAGGCAATAAATATGCACTTATGTACACACTTTATAAAGAGGTGGTAAAATACTCACAATATATGACTTTCAAACATACATTCAGGAAAAACTGATACACATAAAATAAAAATAGTATCTTAATTTTTTCAATTAAAAAGAATTTTGTTATAATAGCCTTGCAGATTTTTATTATTCCATTTACGTACAAGGGCTTATATGTGTATATGTATGCATACATGCACGCCACAGCATGTATGTGGAGGCCAGAGAACAATTCTTGGGAGTTCCACCATGTGGGTCCCAGGGACTGAATCCAGGTTTTCCGGTTTGGCAGCAGGTGCTGCCTGATGAGCTACATATCACCTCACTCCCAGTCTGTTTTTCTACTTTGTAAATATGAAACTGTTTCAGAAAGGTTTTGTATGTGGTAGTTTAAATGAATAACGGCTGCTATAGGCTCCTATATTTGAGCAATTGGTCCCTAGTTGGTGGAACTGTAGGGTAGGAGGTGTGGCCTTGTTGGAGGGGTGTGTCACTGAGGATAGGTTTTGAGGTTTCAAAGGACTAGAGACATTCCCAATTATCTCCTCCCCCACCCCCCAAAGGTGTGCTGGATTAAGATTTAAGCTCTAACCTATGACTCTAGTGCCATGCCTGCCACGCTCCCTACCGTGACAGTCATGGACTCACCCTCTGGACCTGTAGGCTCACGACAAATTCTTTCTTCTGTAAGTTGCCTTGGTCACAGTGTTTTATCTTAGCAATAGAAAAGTAACTAAGGCAGTAGACAAAGTAAGTTATATAGAAGCAATGAAATTAAGAATGTATAGGAGCCGGGTGGTGGTGGCACATGCCTTTAATCCCAGCACTTGGGAGGCAGAGGCAGGCGGATTTCTGAGTTCGAGGCCAGCCTGGTCTACAGAGTGAGTTCCAGGACAGCCTGGGCTCCACAGAGAAACCCTGTCTTGAAAAGCAAAACAAATACAAAAACAAAAAACAAAAACAAACAAACAAGCAAAAAAAAGAATGTATAGAAGACCCAATTGCTAAATTAACTAACAGATACATAATAAAAAAAAAAAAAAAAAAAGCAAAAGTTTAAAAGGACAGCAAAAGGAGAGGAGAAAGAAAGACAGACAGGATATGTCCTGCTGTGGAAAGCTAGCGTCAGCCATCAAACTAGGCTTTTGTAACTGTCTTACCTTGATCCACACATCGTCACTGAGAAAGCTGAATGGTATGGATGGATTATCTGGTGTGTGCTTGTTTAGAATGTCAAAATTAACAGACTCTTTGGCAAGTCGAGGTGGAGTTCCAGTCTTCAGTCTTCCTACCATAAACCCCAACTTCTCCAGAGTCTGAGCCAACCCTATAGACGGCTGATCCCCCAAACGTCCTGCAGGATGCATCTCCAATCCAATTATGATCATGCCTCTCAGAAATGTCCCAGTAGTCAGAATTACACTCTCTGCATAAACTGTACTTCCATCTGCTAAACGATTAAGAAACAAAACAAAAAACCAGTAAAATATTTTTCTCATTGTTATTACAAAACAAAATATAACGTAAGTACTTTATATCAGAATTCCAGAGCAGGCAGTGGTGGTGCACACCTTTAGTCCCAGTGCTTTAGTCCCAGGAGGCAGAGGCAGGTGAGTTTCTGTGAGGTTGAGGCCAGCCTGGTCTACAGAGTGAGTTCTAGAACAGCCAGGGCTATACACAGAAATCCTGTCGAAATGAAACAAAACACCCAAAACCCTCCATCCCTGCAAAAAAATAATTACAGAAAAATTTCCTGTCTCTAGAAAATTGAAAATTTTTTGTAGTTTTTTTGTTTGTTTGTTTGTTTTGTTTTTGTTTTTCAAGACAGAGTTTCTCTGTATAGCCCTGGCTGTCCTGGAACTCACTCTGTAGACCAGGCTGGCCTCGAACTCAGAAATCCACCTGCCTCTGCCTTCCAAGTGCTGGGATTAAAGGCGTGTGCCACCACTGCCCGGCATGTAGTTATTTTTAAAAACTTTATTAAAGTATGAACAAATTTATATTTCATCAATATGTGTGTTTGTATGTATGGATGTATGTGTATTTTTTAAAAAAGATTTATTTATTTATTATGTATACATCATCTTCTGCATGTATGCCTGAAGGCCAGAAGAGTGTACCAGATCTCATTAAAAATGGTTATGAACCACCACGCGGTTGCTGGGAATTGAACTCAGGACCTCTGGAAGAGCAGCAAATGCTCTTAACCTCTCAGCCATCTTTCCAGCCCCCACTTTTCCTTGAAATAGGGTCTCTCTATGTAGGTCTCGCTATTCTGGAACTCACAAAGATCCACTTGCCTCTGCCTCCTGAGCACTGAGGTTTGCACCACCACTGCCCAGCAATAAAATTTAATTTTCAATATAAATTATTTATTAAAGTATTAACAAAAATCAGTACATATTTATGATGTATATCACGGTGCTATAGGTCCACTTTGTATAATGAGTCCCATAATCCTACTTAGAAAAGTTTCAGGGTACAACATTATATTATCAACTATAGTTGATACCATTCTGATACCATTCTACGCATTACATCTCTAAAAGGATCCAATGTATGAATAAAAGCTTGTGCCTGTAGATCAACTCTGTATAGCTCTGGTGGTCCTGCAACTCACTCTGTAGACCAGGCTGGCCTCAAACTCAGAAATCCACCTGCCTCTGCCTCTCAAGTGCTGGGATTAAAGGTGTGCGCCACCACCGCCCGGCCAGACAAAGAATTTCACATGAACAAGAAACCTCCATGTCGGTCATAGTGCTCAGTGTCTGTGACCTCAGCATTGGAAAGATGGAGCAGGCTGGCTGGCTCAGTGAGCTCCAGGATCAGTGAGAGACACTGTTGCCAAAACTAAGCAACTCCAGAGCTTGGTGAGACGGCTCATCAGACAAAAAGGAACTTGCTATGAAGTCTGGTGACCTGAGCTTGGTCCCTAGAACCCACAAGGTGGAAGGAGAGAAATGTCTCCTACATGCTGTTCTCTGACTTCCTTGAGTGTGCCAGACATGTCCCCCAGTAATGTAAAAATAAATAAGCAGAAAAATAAACAAGTGTGGAAGACACCTAATGCTGACCTCTAGCTACTACACACATGTGCACATAGCTAAACACACTCAAACACTCTAGAGGGCTCTGTGTTATGAATCTCATGAATCTAAGAAGTGCAGCAGAAGAAACATGATGGTCCTAAAAATCACACAGGCATGCTGCACTTGGTGAGCATTCATTCAAAAATTAACTGACTTTAGAATTTCGGCTAAACCTGACATGAGTTCTTATTTTTGAAATTGTCAGAAACTTAAAGGAATTTTAAAAATGTATAAAACAGGTCATGTGTGGTATATGCTTTTAATTCCAACTCTTGGGAATGAGAAGCAGGTGGATTTGTGTGAATTCGAGGCCAACCCTGATTACACTGGAAGACCTCACTCAAAAAATAAAAAGTTTAATCTATTTCTGAATGCTAGAGAGTAGCTGGAAGAATGGTAACTGATAGAGGGAAGAGAAGAAACTAGTAAGATTGAACTAGTTCCTCCTTGCAAAGAGTCAGAAATGAGAGAACCAGAAAGACTGAGGCTGAGAAACTGTGCTGACTAATTATATATCAACCTAACACTGGCTAGAGTATTCTGAGAGGTAAAAATTGCAATTGGGAATCCAACTCCATATGATTAAGCTGAAGGCTACCCTATAGAACATTTTCTTAATTAGTTATTAATGTGGGAGGGCCTAGCCTATTGTGGCTGGGGCCATGCCTGAGCTGGTGGTCCTGGGTTCTATAAGAAAGCAAGCTGAACAAGTTTAAGGCTGGCCCAGGATACATGGGGGGGGGGCGGTTGGGATATATTTAAAGTGTGTATTAGGGTGGGGAGCACAGTTGAGATGGCTCAGTGGATAAAAGTGCTTCCTGCCAAACCTGATGGCCTGAATCCCATCCCTCCTACCTATGTGTTGAGAGCAGGGAATCATCTCTCAAAAGTCACCCTCTAACCTCCACACATGTGTGCTACACACAGAAAATGAACAAATATAGAAACAAACTTTGGGAGTTTGAGGCCAGCCTGGTCTACAGAATGAGTTCCAGGACAGCCCGGGCTATACAGAGAAACCCTGTCTCGAAAAACCAAAAAAAAAAAAAAAAAAAAAGAAACAAACTTTGGACAGAAGAAGCTTGATAAAAGATACAAATATGCTCTGGAGTTTTACACACTAAAATAATATTAATGAACCTAGAATCTGACTGAGATTCATGTTGGTCAAAATGAAGATATAGGATTACTTACAAAACTATTTTTATTCAGGCATCAAAACCCAGACTTTCCTAGAATAGCAAAAACATCTGTATGCTCTTCTCTAAAGTTAGTTTCTCACAGAGTTTGATCTGCTGGTGTTAGCATTGTTAGCCAGTACATACCCAAAACAACACCTGTGACCCTGGACTTTCCAACGTATCCAGGCTCTGGTTCTGCAAGGACTAGATCTTCCACAGCTCCCTCCTGAACAGTGAGCAGGGGCTTACTCAGGATTTCTTTCTGTCAAGCGAGAATGCCAGTTGAAAGAGCAGTTGGAGAAGCCCACAGTCCCTCCTGGTCTCACCTGTGCTCACCCAGGCCTCACTCGTGCTCACCTGCATGCTCTGTTTATAAAGTTTCCGATCGATTTGCGCTCTCAGTCCCCACACAGCAGGGCCCTTACGCCGGTTTAGTACTTTGTAATGTATACCAGACTGGTCACAGACCCGAGAACACAGCCCATCCAAGGCATCGACCTCTCTCATCAAATGCCCCTTTCCGATGCCACCAAAGGAAGGATTACAGGACATCTGACCTAAAGAGAATGGACACCATCGTCGTAAATTAACGAGCACCGTGTACATATTATTTAATAAAGAGTGTTTATAAAGGTAATCAGACTAATCAGACTCACTTACAAAAAAACCCAACCAACCAACCAACCAACCAACAAAAAAACCAAACAAAACTCCAAAACACTCTCCTCTAACTTCAAAGAGAGAAGGAGTTAGCGGAAAACGTTGACGCCTTCTTCCTGTTCTCTACATTCCTATGGACTCAACCTTCTAAGTCAAAGTTACCTTTCTTCCTTGAAGCCAAGAAATACTTGATACTGTACCAAATTCCTTACTCCTCAGTTTGGTCAGGCAGGATGAGGTACACCTTTAATCCCAGCACTCAGGAGGCACACAGGATCACTGTGACTTCCAGGCCAGCTTGGTCTACACAGAAATTTCCAGACCAGCCAAGAACTGAGACACCCCACCCCTGCCCCCGCATCTCAAAAGCCAAACAATAACTGTCCTCATCATTTCGTTTCAAATCAGGATTGTTTTCATTAAACTCATTCATGAAAATCATTAGTAGGCCTCTGAAATGGTTTTTAGACATAACCTGCAGCGTTGATAGAACACAGCTTTTGCACTACTCTGTGTGTGTGTGTGTGTGTGTATATATATATATATATATATATATATATATGAATTTAAATCTGTGTGAAGTGACAAGTGTACTTCTATGTTTGATGAAATACTACTGGCCAAAGCCAAGAAAGGTGATCAACCCAATGTTCACTAAGTGACGAATAGATAAAGAAAACGTAAGCTACGGAGCGATCTGCAGGTCTTAGCACAAAACACCCAACGGAAATACAGAACTCGATAAGCAGCGCCGTTTCTCAAGGGCTTTAACAAGCTCTCGGGGAACACAGCACGTCGGTCGCTTAAGCAGACGGGTGTGAAAATCTTAATTCAGGCTTCTCTGAGGTGAGAATACGGGGAAGGTCAACCCAGTGACCTTCCCAGCGGCGTGTTTTTCAGTCCTCCGCGCTCTCTCCCCAGGCACCCACCACTCTCGTCCACCACAACCCTGCCCGCGCTCGGTCGGACGCAGAGTCCCCGCCGCGCGCCACCCCTGCGTCTTAGGCCGGCCGAAGCCGCGTGTCCACGATCCTCACCGATCGTGTCCACGCGGTGTGTGAGGAGCAGAGTCCGCGAGCCACAGCGTGCAGCGGCGGCGGCCGCCTCGGTCCCCGCATGCCCTCCTCCGATAACTACCACGTCGAAGTGCGGGCTGCAGGGTGCCCGACTGTCACTGCACAGGTGGCGCAAAGGCAGCCGTCTGACGAGGGACGCTGTGGCCCAGCGGCCACAGTCTCGGAGAAGGAACATGCCGAAGGAAGCTAGAGACCCCCGGAACAGTCACGAGAGGAAAAGCTGGCCGGGCGCCGCCATCTTGGGTGCGTCAGAGCGTAGCGCGCCTGCGTCCAGCGACGCATTTGATTGGCGGTTTGGAGTTAGGCGCTGCTAGGGCGTCAGGGTGGTGTGTGCAGGCCCGGCTGCGTTCTTTCACAGGTACCTTTGGCTTGGCTGGAATTCTATCTTGGAGGTTGAGGCTAGGCTTTTCAGGTGGACTAGTCTTTGTCGCCAGGATGCCACCTATGAACAATAAATTTGATCATTTCGCCTTAAAATCTTCTGAGAGGTCCATCGACTAAAGGCAATTCGAGTTCTGATCCTCATGTTGAAGTCCCTCTGAGTCTACACATGAATACCATGTCTCCAAATTAAAACAACATTATTTATATGTAGCTTAAACATTTTTTAGACATTTTATGTGTATAATTGTTTGGCCTGTGCATGTGTGTGGTGGGTTTGTGTGTGCGCGCGCCACAACCAGCCTATTCCCACAAAAGTCAGAAGAGGGCATCAGATTTTCTGGACCAATAAATAGTTGTGAGCTACTATTCTGGTTGTTGAGAATCAAACACAGGCAGGTTCTCTGCAAAGAGCATGAGCTCTTGGTCACTGAGCCATCTCTCCGGTTCTTATTTATACACAATTTAAACATTATATATACACACAAGACATGGAGAATTAGATGGAGAATTAGAGAACGTGTAACTCCTACCAAATGCTCTATCCCTACTTTACAAGAATGTCAGCCTTTTGTTGCTAGTAACTATTTGTATATGCACGTACAGTTTCCTCTGAATTGAAATATTCCTAGAGGAGGAAGTCTCATAAAAGAGTCCAGACATGAACAAAGTTTACAGGTTCAGTCCAAGGAAGATTTATAAGTTGCCAGGGCCACCCCTACCCCAGGCTATACAAGCAGGAACCATTGCTAGGGGGAAGACTCCAGGATCATCAATGTGCAAGTCCTTCCGGGACTTCAGGGGCACAACTTTTGTGAGTTGTCATCCATACCGGCCTGGGCTTTTCTGTGATGCAGCTGTCTTTGTGTCATGTCAATTACTCCCAATAAACTCACTATTTCACTAAATTAGACTAGAGTGGAATCATTTTCTTTGGCTTGTTCTTGGTGCCCTCAGGTAAATATACATTTGTTCACATTTCCACAGGAGGGGGAAAAATCATACAGCACAGGAATGCTATTATTCTGTATATAGATAGTGTGATTATACTATCTTTCACTTTATGCCTCTCCACTTAATTGTATGTATTCATTTGCATGTGTGTATGTGTATGGACTTATTCATACTACAGCATACATGTGGAGATCACACACAACTTGAGAGAGCCAGTTCTCTTCATCCTGTGGGTTCTGGGAATTGAACTCATGCCACCAGATATGGCAGCAGATATTTTTACCTGCCAACCATCTGACCAATCCCCTTAACGATATATTTGTTTCGCTGCGCACGATGGTGCACAACTCAGGCAGGGCTCTGAGTCTGATATCAGCATGGACTACAAGACGAGTTCCTGGATAGTCAAGGTTATGTAGAGAGATCATATCTCAGAGAAAAAGTGAAAATAAGCAAAAAAGAAAATTAAAAAAAATGTCCTCCACACTGTATATTGGTTTATTTCTTGTTGTAGGTGTTTTGATTTAGATGAGAGAGAGACAGACAGACAGAAACACACACAGAGGGGTAGGTGGAGAGAGAGAGATAGAGGGAGAGGGAGAGGGAGAGGGAGAGGGAGAGGGAGAATGAATGGGAGAGAAATGGCAACTTTTGGGGAGCCAGTGATCTCCTTCTACCTTGTTTTAAAGCAGGGCCTCTCCTATTATTTCTCTAGATGTTCTGTGTACTCCAGGACAGCTGACTAGAGAAGTTAAGGCCGATTCTTCAGTCTCTGCCTCCCATCTTGCAGTAAGAGGGCTAAGATAAAAGTCTTTTTTGTGGATTCTAAGGACCAAAAACAGATGTCAGGAGTGCACAGCCATCTCAATGAGCCATCTTCCCAGCTTCTATTGTGTTTTTGAGATATCTTAATTTGCTGCCCAGAGTGAACTGGAACTCACAGCAATCCTGCCTCAGCCTGCTGAGTGCTGGCATTTCAGATTTATGCCACCATGTTTGACTTGGATTTTTTTCCCTTTGAGATGTATTCTTTCTATGTACATCAAACTAGACTTGAATTCTCCATCCTCCTGCCTCAGTTACCTATAAGTGGGGATTGCCGGTATGCAGATTATGTCCAGCACAGAAGTGAATACTTATGCTTAACCATGAATAATGAATGAAATTGGTTTAGATGAGATGTGATGTTACACAAAAACTGAACATTTTTAAAGTATCATCAAATATTTGCTAGCAGTTCTCTCCCAACTCCTCCTCGCTCTGTTCTTGCTCTCTCAACCTGGAATTGATATATAGACCAGGCTGGTCTTGAACTCATAAAGATCTGCCTCCTAAGTGTAGGAACCAAGGTAGTTTGCCTTTTTCTTTTCCTCTAACAGGTTTTACTATGTAGCCAAGTCTGGCTTTGAACTGATCCTTCCATACCAGCCTTCAAAGTATTTATATTCGGGTTATGGCCTACCCTAGCTAAAGTAGACTACTTTTTAATATTTTAAGCCAATAGCTAAACCATTGATTAAAGACTCATAGACTTAGCCAGGTGGTGGTGTCTCATTACAGAATCCTAGTTCATAGGAGGCAGTGGCAGAGATGAGGCAGGGACGGGGCCAGAGAGGCAGAGAGGCAGAGTAGCAGAGAGGCAGGAGGATCTCTGAGTTCAAGGCCTGATCTACAAAGTGAGTTCCAAAACAATCAGGGCCACACAAAGAAACCCTGTATCACAGTCTGCCCCACTCCCCCAAAGAATCATAAACCCAACTGAAACTCACCTGTGAGAACCCCTCCCACCTACATTTGAAGACTAGGCATTAATCTGTTCACACGGTATGTATTCAGTGCAGAATCTCCCCTTTCCAAGGAAGACATTACTCATAGGCCCAGAACCAAAACATTCAGTTGTAGCTTAAGGACAGATAATAAAGACGATAGAAACTGAATTTCTATTGTGGAAGTCTACAAAACCCTTCTATGGAAGGTAGTCTGTTACTCTTTTATCAGGGTCCCCAGGATGGACCTCAGGTTTACTGTTGTTTGTTTGAGACAAGATCTCACTCTCTTTCCCAGGCTTGTACTTCTGGTTTAAAGATGCTCTGCCTAAGTCTCCAGAGCAGCTGGAACGATTGGCCTATGCTTCCACGGGTGATGCTAAGAGTTGATTAACTAGAAAGATTCACAATTAAAAGAATGAACAGTTACAGTTACAGTATGAATGTTGCAGTGAATTTTGCTCCTTTCAAAACCATTGTTCACGTTTCATTCTCTCTGGATGCTCATGCCTATTCCTTACCCTCTTGCACTGTTTTCTTCTTTCTTCCTCTTCCCCCCTCCTTTTCCCCCTCCTCTTCCTCTTCCTTTTCTCAAGATAAGGTTTCTCTGTGTAGCCTTGGCTGTCCTAGAACTAGCTCTGTAGACCTCCGACTTACTGCCTTTGCCTCCTGAGTGCTGGGACTAATGGTGAATGCCATCATACTGGCAGGACATCGCAAACAGAGAGGTTTCCTGTTTAAAGCATATTTCTGCAAAGGAGGAAGTGTCTCCATCCCCAGGCATGTCTGCTTGCCATTCAAAAGCGAAAGCTCAGAAGACAAGTTCCCATTCTGGAGCTCATGTACAGACATTGATGGGAAGGAGGGAAGAGAGTTGCAGGGGCGATAGGATGGCAGCACACTGATCAGTGTCTTTTTATCCAGGCTACATGTATCCCATAGTATATTGCACATGCGCGCTTGTGTGTGAGCACACACGAACACACACACACACACTCCCAAAAGTTAAACATAGCAGCAATTTGTGAGCTTTATTGTAGTGGACACACAGGATTATGTAATAAGGAGTGGAAACACACATTCTGATGTTAGTTGAAGACTAAGTGGTGTTCTGAGCCGTGTAAATCTTCAGAAGGCAAGTTTTTGGTTTTGTCAGCGGAACGCAGTGGAAGGCAAAATGAATTCCGCCAGGAACAACTTTCAAAGAAGCAACCTCTGTTGACAAGATCAACTTTAGAAATCGCTTTCTGAAAGTCTGCATTGAAGTGCTAAACGGAATCTCAGCAGCTAAAGTAGGATGGCTTACACCGTGCTGCTCACATAGGCACTTGAAACACTTTCTTTAAGATCCGGTGTGCTTTTTTTTTTTTTTTTTTGGTTTGGTTTTTCGAGACAGGGTTTCTCTGTATAGCCCTGGCTGTCCTGGAACTCACTCTGTAGACCAGGCTGGCCTCGAATTCAGAAATCCGCCTGCCTCTGCCTCCCAAGTGCTGGGATTAAAGGCGTGCGCCACCACCGCCCGGCCGGTGTGCTTTTTAGAAACATAAGGTGAAATACTAATTCCAAGCAGTTAATCTAACTTGAAAAGCTTCAGTGAATTTCTATTTCTCATTAACAAGAACAGCAAATTCTAAAAAGTTTTTATCAACTACAAATGTACGAGAGACAGTAATGTCCTGAAAAACATCTTGGTGGTAGGTCGGCAAATCTGGCCATGTAAGTTGCTGTCAGTGCTTTCCGCGTCACGGTAAAGAAGAGGTGGGTGTTTCCCAGCCAGTAGCTCAGCTGCTTCCCACCCGTGAAAAAGTTCGCATCTCTAGGACCGCCTCTTCCTGGCGCGGACTTCACGGGTGCTCCTGCGCCTGCTCGCGGCGGGTACAGACAGGCTACGTTCCCGCCAGATATTTAAGTTTCGATTCCCCGCGGCCTTTCTCCGAAGTCCATTTATTCTTTCCGAGAGCGAAGAGTGACAAATATGGAAGGTCAGCGTAGAAGAACGACGGCGCCGCGCGCTAGGAAGCCGTCGACGAAGCGCGCCCCGACGCAGCTCGGCGGGACCGGGGCCACCCTGTCTTACGCGGGAAGCTGCGGCCCGCAAAGGGGGGCGCGATCGCGGCGGGCGGAGCGTGACGGGGACACCACGGAGACGCCATGCAT